CCACAAAAGCTTCACCCACCACAAAAGCTTCACCCACCACAAAAGCTTCACCTAAAAAAGCTTCACCTAAAAAAGCTTTACCAACAAAAGCTTCACCCACAAAAGCTTCCCCTACCACAAAAGAAGCTTTCCATACCACAAAAGCTTCACCCACAAAAACTTCCCCTACCCATAATAGCTTTACCCATAAAAGTTTCACCAACAAAAACTTCACCCACAATAGCTTCACCCACAATAGATTCACCTACAAAAGCTTCACCCATAAAAGCTTCACCAACAAAAGCTTCACCCATAAAAGCTTCACCCACCACAAAAGCTTCACCCACCACAAATAAAAGCTTCACCAACAAAGCTTCACCCACAAAAGCTTCCCCCACCACAAAAGTTTCACTCATAAAAGCTTTACCGACAAAAGCTTCCCCCACCACAAAAGCTTCACCCACCACAAAAACTTCACCTACAAAAAGTTCACCCATAAAAGCTTCACCAACAAAAGCTTCCCCCACCACAAAAGCTTCACCCACAAAAACTTCATCCACAAAAACTTCACCCACCACAAAAGGTTCCCCACCTACAAAAGCTTCACCCACCACAAAAGCCCCACCCACAAAAGCTTCACCTACAAAGCTTTAACACAAAAACTTCACACTATCTTGATCAAGATAGTGTGAAGCAAAATCAATTCATGGTACCCAACAAAGCTTCAACCTCAAAACTTCACCTATAAAGCTTAAAATATATATATATATATATATATATATATATATATATATTTTTTTTTTTTTTTTTTTCTTTCTTTCAGAAATTCGAAAATTCGAGAATTAAAAAAAAAATAGTTTAGGCCTCATCGTCTTTGGGCCTAACAACTTTCATAACAAATATATATGAAAGAGGAGTTTTGAGCTACCACTTAGAAAGGAAAATGGTAAAGTTTTGTTACTTTGGAAACTTGGCTACTAGCGAGATACCTCATTCGTCAACTCCCTCAACCAGAGACTACCTTGATAGTCGGAAGTCTCACGACCACTCAGTGACTTGGATTTTTTCAAGTCTCCAACCGAGAAGTTTTCCTCACTCGAAAAATTAAGGGAGCACTACCTCAACCTACATGCTTCACTCACAAAGCTTCAACATACAAGATTCAACAAAAGGAAAAATTCAAAGAACTTAGTGAAGAAGGCATTGGTGTATTTAACACAATACGTTGAAATGAAGCAAAGCTTGTTTATTGATATCTCCGATAAGTTACAAATATGTACATATACATGAATCAAAATAAACAAACAAGAGGGAGCCTTCACAAAGGTTGCTCAGGAGAAGTCTCAACAGTCGGCAGAGCCCCAGAAAGAGGAGGCACCAGAGGGTGATTATTCGGAGCCTCAGTACTAGGCAGAACCCAGAAGGAGGAGACACCGAAGGTTGATCATTTGGAGCTTTATTACGCGGTAGAGCCCCAGAAGACGAAGGCAATAAATGCCTTTGGAACAAACTCACAAACCTCTAATGATCAAGTAAAATCTGACCATCAGATTCCTGCAGCTGGTCGAGATTCCTCTTCATGTTTGTAGCATAGTCATGTACGAGCCTGTGTAACTTTTTATTCTCATGCTTGAGCCCTCTGATCTCCTGTTAGAGACTTATCATTTTAGTTGCCAATGATTCAACTTGGCGGGTTCGAGCAAATAGGCGTTGGGCCATATTAGACACAGAACTTGCACACTGAACACTGAGAGCCAGATAAACCTTAACAGCCAACTCATCAGACCGTTTGGAAAGTAATCTGTTATCTTTGGGAGTGAGAAGGTTCCTGGCCACCACCGTAGCAGTCATATCATTCTTCATCACAGAGTCCCCAACGGTAAAAGGACCAGTAAGGGATAAGAAGGATGGGCGCCATATGTTGTCTTGAGAAGGCATGGCTCCCTCTTCCCCAAAGTTCAAGTCAAAACGACGGTCGGTGGGCTAGACATTCTCAGAAATGATGAAGGAGAAATGAGGTGCAATAAATCTCTAAAGTAAGGGGGAAATTCCTAAAAGCAATAACTCTCTGAATGTACTTCTTGCACACAATTGGTGCCCATATAAAAGAAAGGACAACATGGCCGTTGGTTCAAAAATCGAAAATGCACCACTCTCCGGATTCCGAAGAGGCACCACTTTCACACGTAACATCAGCTCCTCGGGTACCACAGATAACTTTGCCAAAGATTTCTGACAAAATTTAGACACATAAATTTTGAAGGTCCAATTACCCTACTATTACCCACAAGGGTAAAGGAACAGCATCACTGCTTGATAACTAGAAAGTCTCAATGTGTGTCAACCTCCGTACTACGTGGCAAGGCAGACTGATAAAAATGCCCAACCTTTACTCACATTCGAGAAAACACTCTCAGCAAGATTGCTTGCTCAAAAATCGAAGAGGCACCACCCTCCGAATCTAGAGAGCCAGACTCTCAATATGGTTACTTTATCAAAAATCGAAAAGACACTGCTCTCCGAATCTCAAGAGTCAGACTCCCAACATGATTACTTTCTCAAAAATCGAAAAGGCACCGCTCTACGAATCTGGAGAGCCAAACTCCAAACAGGATTACGTGCTAAAAAATCGAAGAGGCATGACCCTCCGAATCTCGAGAGCCAGACTCCTAACATGATTACTTTCTCAAAAATTGAAGAGGCACTACTCTCCGAATCTCAAGAGTCAGTCTTCCAATATGATTGCTTTCTCAAAAATCAAAGAGGCACCGTTCTCGGAATCTCGAGAGCCAAATCCCCGACATGATTGCTTGTTCGAAAACCGAAGAGGCACCGCTCTCCGAACTTCGAGAGCTAGATTTCCTTGGATAAAGCTTGTCTGCAATCTTCACATGCAACATCAGCTTTCCAGATACCATAGACCACTTTTTCAAAGTGCTTTGACAAAGTTAAAACAGTGAAGCTTGCAGCTTCCACTACATTGTTATAACCAAGAAGGGTAAAGGAATAGCACTACTACTTGTTGTTAGGAAGACTCCTATATATGTCGACCTCCATCCTCCACAGCCAGGCAGACCTACAAATAAAAAAATGCTCAACTTTTCTTTACATCCCAGAGGGTACTCTCAGCAGAGTCTCTCGAAATGCTCAGCTTCTTTTCCTTCCGATAATACCTCTGCAAACAAGCCACAACAGAGCAAAAGTATCTCATATCATCAGGGTTAAAAGCAAGAGCATCTCATATCATGCTTTTTCTTTGTCTTTTCCTTTGGCATTATTCTTACCTGCAAGACAAGGAGAAAGAGAGCAATCAGTCAGCACTTTGAATCAAGCTTCCAGTCAGGAACTGACTGTTTGGAACCCCTTGCCTGATTACTTACCTGGCATTGCTCTCGAGTACTCATCTTCAACATCTTATGCTTCCAGAGAAGATACCACATCTGAATGAGGAGCAAATAGGCCAAGTGAGAAGGATACAAGAAAACATGTAGAGACAAGCGTAACAGAACACGTGCCGATGCATCCACTACTTTGTCAACAACAAAAGTATTCCATATCATCAGGGTCGAACGTACTCTAGATTTGATGGACTTGTTTTGACCCTCAAATTCTTGAGTCGGCCTTATACTCTGGAGGAAACCAGAAAACCCTCCAGCCCAATTTAAGAATAGGCCTATGGAAAGTTACTTCTTCAAAAACAAAAATATCTCTTATCATCTCTTCTCTATTTGCTTCTCCTTATCCTTGTTGCTGTTTACGACACAAGGAGAAGGAGAACAATCAACCGTAAGCCGAAGTCGAACTTCCAATCCAGGTTGCTTGCTTGGAAGTCTGTTTGCTTACCATGTCTGTTACCTCCTTCGGCAAATCTCCTAGCTCGGCGACTTGGGGGACTCCTACTATAGGGTTTGTATCGCACTTGACCAAGCCCAAAACTACAAGTAAGCTTCAAGTGAAATTGGTACATTACCTTGTGCATGTTCATCGGTTAAAGATACCACCCCTTGATAGAGGAAAAATACTTCCAGAGAAGATGTCACATCTATATATGAGACAGATAAGGCAAGTGAAAATGACACCACACTTCGGTACTTAGAAGTTTCGTGATTACTCAATAGCTTGGATCTTGCAAGTCCTTAACCGATGAGCTTCCCTCACTCGGGAATTTAAGGAAGCACTGTTTGTACCATACTTGACTAATCCCGAAACTACTGAGCACCGATCAACGTTATACCGTCAAGGACCCAAAAGAGTTTCCCTCAAACCAGAAGGCTAATCACAGCGCTACACGTGTCAATGTCAGAATGAAACTAAAAACTAGAAACTAGAAACTCTCTTCTATAAATAGAGATCATTCTCTCACAATATTTCCTAATGTCATTTGTACTAAATCATTCACTAGTACTCACAAAAGGAGAGCTTGAACCTATGTACTTGTGTAAACCCTTCACAATTAATGAGAATTCCTCTACTTTGTATACGTAGTCAATCTGGGTAAACCACGTACATCTTGTGTTTGCTTCCCTGTCTCTATCCATTTACATATTTATCCACACTAGTGACCGGAACAATCTAGCGAAGGTCACAAACTTAACACTTTCTGTTATACCAAAGTCCTCGCTGATTTTGTGCATCAATACCTTTAATGGTTGAACTTGGAGAAGGAAGAAAAGTGGGGGAATACATATATTTAAATGTGCACACTGGGGTTCTTCCGCTTCTTAACAAACTAGTTCGAATCTCCCCGATAATCCTTTTTTTTGGTATAATCATTAACTCCAAAAGGAAGTTCACAAAAAGTATCAAGCAGTTTCGAACCCAAAACAATTCTGCATGAGTTGAAGTGTCTGACCACCACCACACTTTGCTTATTTTTAGGTGTTTTCTGCTTAAAGTTTATACAGGCCCCTAAAATCTTGCCCGCCCTGATGCTAACCTTGAGCAACATACAATTTAATATCTGACCATAAAGTCGCAAATATGCATCGTACCCTAAGTTAAGATTCACTACCAATCTGAAATTTATCAGGAATTGAGAAAACCTCCAAATTTATTGACTGAATAATATGAAAATTACAACCCAAAGGTCATGTCCGAGAGTAAAATGCTAAGCCCTTCTATTGTGCCTGTTGGAAAGAACATACGAATCACTCGTAGCCTCATTCAAAAATTGTTCAACAAGGCACTATGTACATACGTAAAGAAAGATGTATATCAATGTAGTATAGAAGAATAACCAAAATTTCTTTTATCTTTCTTGTCTGCTTTGAACCATCTATAACGAGCCCCATCTATTGGTCAATAACAGACAGACCACTTGGATCTGTATATCAAACTGCTTGTTTCCTGACCACGCACGTGTTAGGTGTTTAACCTATACACAACTAAACGACCCTTATCGAGGCTCCAAAAGCGTAATTGATATTTCATTGGTTGAAGATGATTGGTTACCTGCTTCGTGTGATTCCATTTTTGTAAAGAAACCAGGTTGTTTGGGGTGAGTCAATGCAATCTCACTTCCCAACATTATAACCACAGATGCCATGTTTGGCCTGTCCTCAGGATTATGTTGCACACATAGGAGACTAACGTGGATGCAACGTAACGCTTCTGATAGCATACATGAGCCTGCTAAACATGTATCAATAAGTTCTAAAGGCCGGCCTTCGTTCCATAATTTCCACGCCTGAAACATGTCAAAAAACTCCGTCAATTTTTATCCATTGGTCTCTATGTATGAAGTTTATTCTTGCTACTTACATGTCCAACAAGGTTTTGGCTGTGGTTTGGATGGTAGAATCCCTTGTTTTTTATTCCACTTATGACCTCCAAGACCAAAATACCGAAGCTAAAGACATCTGATTTGACAGAAAATAGCCCATCAAGAGCATATTCTGGTGCCATGTAACCGCTGTAAAACATAGAAACATCATAGATCAGTGAGAACATAATAATCCGTTCTTGTGGCAATAATTTCAAGAGAAACTTACTATGTTCCAACCACTCTGTTTGTATTTCCGCCAATCTGATCACCTCCAACTAATATTCTAGCCAAACCAAAGTCTGAAATTTTTGGATTCATTTCATTATCAAGTAAAACATTACTTGCTTTCAGATCTCTATGAATAATCCTTAGCCTGGAATCTTGATGCAGATAGAGGAGACCCCGAGCAATTCCACAAATAATGTCGAAACGTTTAGGCCAATCTAACAGCAATTCTCCTGTTTGATCTGGCAAGTTCATTCGAAATCCAACTTCAGTTCTGTACACAAACCTATATATGAAATTATTTAAAGCAACAATATTTTATAAGGTACAATGTTTCAAACCGAAAAGAAAGGAATCCAGGCTTTTGTTGGGCATGTATTCATAAATCAGCATTTTCTCCTCCCCTTGAACACAGCATCCAAGAAGCTTTACGAGATTTCGGTGCTGAAGCTTGGCAATCAGTATAACTTCATTCATGAACTCATTAAATCCTTGGCCAGAACTTCTTGAAAGCCTCTTCACAGCAATTTCTTGTCCATCTGCCAGGGTCCCCTGACAATTTACAGTATCTCAATATAACGAAACACATGATGAAGTGATTAGTTTGGCCCGTATTATGAAGCAGATTGGAACTTTACCTTGTAAACAGATCCAAAACCACCTTCTCCGAGCTTGTTATCGCTTGAAAAGTTATCTGTAGCAGTTGCTATTGTGGTCACGTCAAAGAGCGGAAGCTCCAGGTCCTCTTCATTGTTCCGATTTGTTTCTCTTACTTCTGTTTCTCATGTATTAGAATGGACTTCATGTTAGCTATGTAAGAGTAAGCAAATTAAAATTTGTATATGCAGATGGAATATGTACTAGGTTAAACATATCTCTCAACCAAATTATATTTGATAAAATCTTAAATACATTTCTCTGAAATACTCATCCAACTCATCCAAATAAAATAAAAAAAATCCGGGACAAGAATATTTAGCTATAGCCTTCAAGTAAGAGTAAGCAAACTAAAACCTATATGTGCAGCTGGAACATGTGCTAGTTTAAGCATATCTCTTCTAACCAAATTAAACACAATACAACTTCAAATCTTTTCTCTCAAATATCTATTCAAATACAATCAAAGAACATCCACGGATAATGTGCAAAATGGCTCATTCCACTTCATCTACCTTTTAATTTTGTCCTCCTTCGGTGAATGTAATATCCAGCTAACAGAAGACCAGAAATTATTGCTGCTACGGTAATTGCAACTATCATTGCTGTCTTCAATCGACGATCATTGTCTTCTAAATGATTGTAGACAAAATAAAATTGCAACGAAAAAAGAGAACAGGGAAAAATTAAGGTCAATTAGTTAATTTTTGATAGAAGCAGAATGGACTTTGTATCAGAGCAAATTTCCATACCTAACTCAGAAGCTGACATTCGAATATATAGCTCCTGCCCACCAACCAGAAACTGCCTGATATCTGTAAGCTCACCGAACCAGATGACACAACCAGTGCCTCCTCCTCTGATATCCGAGCTTGTATAAGCCATACATGAACAGTTGTTCAAGCATTTGGCTCTGCATTCCTCGAGATTTATAGTTTTGTTCACCCAAGAAAGTGTAGTATCTGGTAATTTCAATCCAGAAAATTTAAGAAACCCATCTTTATCTCTTCCATGGCAGCTCAGTGGTTTCTTCCGCACACATCCTAAAGACCAGTCGGTTAAATTCCATTTTTCTTGGGACTTAGGCCTGAATCCTTTCAGGCATTGGCAGACTGGATTCTCACCTATGATACATTTTCCATTGGCTCCACAGAAGCCATAATGATCACACAAGTCCCTAGGTACCGATGAATAGGCCCTCCAAGTTTGATCCGCTTCAATCCATGTAAATCGATCACGCGACCTGGTGGTTTGGTTCAAAACTATTCTTGAGATTACAGACTTATCTTGAAGGTTGTACATGTAGTACACTTCATCTTCATTATACACAAATTTGAAACTGTAAAGTGGATTAGGCTTTAATTCTGGTGAACCACTGAATCTCAGTCCGTTCCATGGGCCAGTACGATAGTATTTTGCAGTGCCTATACGCACATATGCCTCAGGATATGTATTAAGTTGCATTTGGATCCCGTAAGTGAAATCTCCCGGACAAGGGTCTTCTGAATTTTTCCATGCTGATAAACTTCGTTTCACACCAGTCCTCAAGTCCCATCCCATCTTCATTCCTGGTAACAAAGTATCAGAAGGATAATCGAAGCTTTGCCACAAATGGGTTCCTGCGACGACATCTCTTAGGACTAAATTACCAGAATCCAAAAGCTCTACCCTTGCACTTTGGACATTTTTAACTGAGCTTGTCCACCAAACGACACTCTTATTCTGACCCAACAGCACAAGATTACCTGTGCCGTTTATCATCAACATGCCGGAAGAATCGTTGATGGGGTTGCATCGGTTTGCAACCCAAACAACAGTTCTAACTGGAATGTTCTTGTACCAAATCCCCAAGTAACGGTTCGTGGAACTACCTGAATTGAAGAAACCAAGCTCAAAGCTTCCATCTTTCGAAACCAAGGTCGTGCCATCACGAACAGACTGGGAGGGACTAATGCTGTTAACTGCAAAGCAAATTGTGGATAACATGAAGAGCAAATTAGTACCGATCATCAACGAAAACAAAAGATGAACCATTGAACTTTCGTTCTTTATCTCCCTTTCTACTGGGTTTGATCCAAGTTAAGGATAGAACTAAAAAAGACCCCAGTGATTGTTAATTGAGATCAGAGATGTATGTCGTGAAGGTTTCGTTATTGACGGGTAACTACGTATAGAAAACGGGTACTAGATAGATTTTTCAGTATAACCGTAACACGGAATATGTATATTATAAAGTTAATAATTTGAATTAAAAATTTTCATCACTTATATAAAATACAAGATATACTACTTATGTTCTGATCATAATAAAAAATATCTCAGAAGAGCTGTTGTGCTTTCGAAGATATTCATTTGTCAATAATGAACATTAAATAGTACATGCTCCAATTTCCGTAAAGCAGTCAAGAAAATGCATTTCAGACCTGCCCTCCCACTTCCTATATACTATCATTCTTTTTTATTTTATGCAATCACGGTTAAGTAACATCAATATTTTATATTAATTTTTTTATAAAAATAATAAAATAAAAAATAATAATAATATAAAATATTGATTTGATTTGATTTAATTGTCATCACATAAATAAAAAAGGATAAGAGTGTATAAGAAATGGATGGATCGATAAGCCAGCTGCCAGATCCTATGCATTTTCGCATTCAAGCATCCGACAGTGTTGGAAAATGAATGGTTTTCAAGTAAAAATAAATAAAAACAAAACTGAGTATCTTTTATTACCTGCTCCCTCGATCAATCACGCAATTGTATTTAGCTCGGGCCCATTTTTGCTCACTATACACTACCGTCTTCACGTGTGATTCACGTGATTTTATCATTCTATTACATAAATTTTAAAATTAAAATTCATTTAATGATAATTATTATAGTGATGAGCACATTAATTTATATTTTAATAATAATTCAATTATCGTCTTATATAATTTACAAAATTTAATTTAAAATTTGATTTGACTAGATATTTTCGTACAATTGATTCATACATTGGTAGGTCAAAAGAGTGCATCAATGATCAGGCCCCATCAATGAATGAAAGACCAACTCCTTGGAGTCCTTTCACATTCGTACAGGCTGCGTCTTGCTCTTGGTTGTTGTTTTCTGCCATGTGAATATGGCAGCTAGACTTGGCATTCGTGTCGTGTTTTTCGTGTTCGTGTCGTTTTCGTGTCATACCCGATATCTTAACGGGTCGTGTCGTGTAACACCCGTTAAAATAAACGGGTAAAATGACCCGACCCGAAATCGACCCGATAATATTAACAGGTAATATGACCCGACCCGTTACCCGTTAAGGAAAATATATTTTAAACCAATAAATAATCAAATGAAAAACATAATACTAAATAAGTATATACATTTCATATTATCACATCCAAAACATAAAAACGCAATTTTGTTTTAAGTATATTTTCGCTTACCTAAAGTCTTTAATAGTTTTTTAATTAATGTAGAAGTGTAAAAAAATATAGAAAAAAATATATAAACACTCGTAATGACAAGCTTTATAACTTTCATGAAGAGCTTAACTTCGAAATTCGCCACTATAATCATATAAATCATAGATCAAAATTTAACCGTTGATTGTTGTTTACATTTATGGTTCATTGTTCTCATCAAATTTCTTTTTTTTAGATTTTCTTTTTTGAAAACATGATCTATTAGAGGGTGCAGGTAGATGAACGGTTTGGATCGTTGGATCGTTGATATTATATTTAGAGTTCTACGTTTAGTGAAAATATTGATTGATGTTTATAAAGTTTCTACAAATTATATGACATTGACTCATATTTCAGTTAATCGTAAATATCGAAACGTGATATCATCTTCTTACATCCACCAGATGATCATGTTTTCAAAAAATAAAATTTTAAAAATGAAATTCAGTCAGAAGAATAAAGTGTAAATAACAATTAACGGTTAAATAAATTTAAGGTTTTACTACTACAAAATTATCTATTGCTGGCGGTCCAAAAACTTTTTTCAACGATCCAACCGTCAAACTTATTTGTACACATTCCAAGATTGCATACGTAAAAATCTTTAAAAAACAAACATTCAGAGATTACGTAATGGAACAAAAGTTTTCGACGGTTATAAACGAAAAATCACAATTTAACGGTTATTTTAGCTCCGATCTTGATGATTTTTTACAAATACACTCATCGACCCTATAAGAATGTAATGAATAAATTTGATCTTTAATTTAAAGTATTTACACTAGTGGATACCACAAAAACTTATTTTATACTTAATAGAAGTATAATATTAACTCTAAGTGTTTGTTTAATCTACCGTTTTGACGCAATATGCATTCTACGAAACTTTTTTCAACGATCCAACCGTCAAAATTATTTGTACACATTTCGAGATCGCATACGTAAAAAATCGTAAAAAAAAAACATTCAGAGATTACATAACGGAACAAAAGTTTTCAACGGTTATAAACGAAAAATCACAATTTAACGGTAATTTGAGCTCCGATTTTGATGATTTTTTACAAAAACACTCCTCGACCCTATAAGAATGTAATGAATAAATTTGATCTTTAATTTAAAGTATTTACACTAGTGGATTTTATACTTAATAGAAGTATAATATTAACTCTAAGTGTTTGTTTAATGTACTGTTTTGACGCAATATGCATTCTACAAAACTTTTTTCAACGATCCAACCGTCAAACTTATTTGTACACATTCCGAGATCGCATACGTAAAAAATCGTAAAAAACAAACATTCAGAGATTACGTAATGGAACAAAAGTTTTCGACGGTTATAAACGAAAAATCACAATTTAACGGTCATTTTATCTCTGATTTTGATGATTTTTTACAGATACACTCCTCGACCCTATAAGAATGTAATGAATAAATTTGATCTTTAATTTAAAGTATTTACACTAGTGGATACCACAAAAACTTATTTTATACTTAATAGAAGTATAATATTAACTCTAAGTGTTTGTTTAATGTACTGTTTTGACGCAATATGCATTCTACAAAACTTTTTTCAACGATCCAACCGTCAAACTTATTTGTACACATTCCATGATCGCATACGTAAAAAATCATAAAAAACAAACATTCAGAGATTACGTAATGGAAAAAAAGTTTTCGACGGTTATAAACGAAAAATCACAATTTAACGGTTATTTTAGCTCCGATTTTGATGATTTTTTACAGATACACTCCTCGATCATATGAGAATGTAATGAATAAATTTGATCTTTAATTTAAAGTATTTACACTAGTGGATACCACAAAAACTTATTTTATACTTAATAGAAGTATAATATTAACTCTAAGTGTTTGCTTAATCTACCATTTTGACGCAATATGCATTTTATGAAACTTTTTTCAACGATCCAACCGTCAAACTTATTTGTACACATTCCGAGATCGCATACGTAAAAAATCGTAAAAAACAAACATTCAGAGATTACGTAATGGAACAAAAGTTTTCGGCGGTTATAAACGAAAAATCACAATTTAACGGTTATTTTATCTCTGATTTTGACGATTTTTTACAGATACACTCCTCGGCCCTATAAGAATGTAATGAATAAAATTGATCTTTAATTTAAAGTATTTACACTAGTGGATACCACAAAAACTTATTTTATACTTAATAGAAGTATAATATTAACTCTAAATGTTTGTTTAATCTACCATTTTGATGCAATATGCATTCTACGAAGCTTTTTTCAACGATCCAACCGTCAAAATTATTTGTACACGTTCCAAGATCGCATAACGTAAAAATCGTAAAAAACAAACATTCAGAGATTACGTAATGGAACGAAAGTTTTCGACGGTTATAAATGAAAAATCACAATTTAACGGTTATTTTATCTCTGATTTTGATGATTTTTTACAGATACACTCCTCGACCCTATAAGAATGTAATGAATAAATTTGATCTTTAATTTAAAGTATTTACACTAGTGGATACCACAAAAACTTATTTTATACTTAATAGAAGTATAATATTAACTCTAAGTGTTTGTTTAATGTACTGTTTTGACGCAATATGCATTCTAAAAAACTTTTTTCAATGATCCAACCGTCAAACTTATTTGTACACATTCCGAGATCGCATATGTAAAAAATCATAAAAAACAAACATTCAGAGATTAAGTAACGGAACAAAAGGTTTCGACGGTTATAAACGAAAAATCACAATTTAACGGTTATTTTAGCTCCGATTTTGATGATTTTTTACAGATACACTCCTCGACCCTATAAGAATGTAATGAATAAATTTGATCTTTAATTTAAAGTATTTACACTAGTGGATACCACAAAAACCTATTTTATACTTAATAGAAGTATAATATTAACTCTAAGTGTTTGCTTAATCTACTGTTTTGACGCAATATGCATTCTATGAAACTTTTTTTAACGATCCAACCATCAAACTTATTTGTACACATTCCGAGATCGCATATGTAAAAAATCGTAAAAAACAAACATTCAGAGATTACGTAATGGAACAAAAGTTTTCAGCGGTTATAAACGAAAAATCATAATTTAACGGTTATTTTATCTCTGATTTTGATGATTTTTTACAGATACACTCCTCGACCCTATAAGAATGTAATGAATAAATTTGATCTTTAATTTAAAGCATTTACATTTTTTTATATATGAGTGATTTTGTATATATATTTTTACATTTTTTACACTTCTACAATAATTATTATTAATTTTATTAATTTTTCCCTCAAATAAAAAACATTATTCATGAGGGTTTGAAGGATTTAAAAAATCTAAACGATAATATAAGTGTAACAATTATCTATTCGTGGAGGAATAATGATAAATCACGAGTGTTTATATATTCTTTCACATTTTTCATACTTGTATGTATGTCTTCTTAGTTCTTGCATATACAAATACTATACCAGTATATTTTAATTTTGGACAAGAATATGTTATGTAAAATTTATCCTAGTAATGATAATAAGGAACTCTCATAATAAAAATAAATAATGACTAAATTTTTTTTTTCATTTTTTTATAATTTATATAGAACAATAATACAAAACTATATATTTAATATAGAATATATTGTATATATTAATATGACTATTGTATTTTATAATAAATCTTTTAGTAATTAAACTTTAAAATTATT